GATTGTAATATAAGTCTCTGGTAGCTGAATAGGAAATGAGGTTTGATCTTGATGGGTTTATTAATCTTCACACACCAGCTAAGACGCTGGAAAAAGGGGATAAAGCTATGTGCAAACTTGAACATGACTTTCTGCATTTATCTTCAGAAATGGGTTTGAAAAGGAGTCCCCAACTGAAAATTTCCACCACCCTCATTGCAATTAATAGTCATGTATTTCGTTTGGCAACGTCTAAAGTAGAACTTTTCTAGAACAGTCTCACCACCTACCTGTTTCACAATGTTTTCCTTTGTATCCTGGATGACACTGGCCGCTTTTAGTTGTTTGTTTTCGCCCACGAGAAACATCCATGCAGTAGGCCTGAGCCTGATTAGTAAAACAGAAAGGTGAACTTTTTGCTTCCCGTTCTGTTGTTGTTCAGAGTAAACAAAGCTTTTTTTTCTCGTTTTCAGTATTCAGACGCTCAATGTGCGTTTTCAAAAAGGAAATTTGACGTTACCCTCACACTCCTGACAACACTCAGAACACGCTATACAAGCAGGAAAGAAACCTTTTGGTTCGCAGGTTATTGCAAAACGGGAATTGCAAAATGATGAAGATAGTTAAGACTCGCTTGGAGAAACGTTTGCCCGAGATTTTAACTGTCTGGTGTTCTGTTTACGAAGTAAACGCCTACTTGTATGCCAATAACAATTGATTCTATCAGTTTTCATTAGTCTAAAGCAATAGTTCCGAAACATTGTTCTTGGCAGTGAATAAGATAGGAAAGTTATCAACAAACCTGCTCAACCCAGAACCCACCTGAACAAAGCTATAGTATGTAGATCCTTTCTTCTTTTTAAAATGATCTGGCTTTATCTGCCGTGTTTTATTATTTAACTCACATCTACGTTTTCCATTGCTGTCACCGGGATGAACATTGATCGATTTACAGCTGTTATTTCCCATACATTTTAACTGGCATTCAAATTCGTCCGCAACAACATTTGTCTGGATAACATGACCCACCAAGGCATGGTCTGAAAGGAAAAATACGTTCCTTGTAGTTCTCAGCTAAAGAAAGAGAGTATAAGAATGGTTTTTTTCATTTTTTTGTTTTGGTTTTTCATTTTAAGTATTTACTCACCGACTTGAGTTTCAAAAACGCTTCCACAAAAGTCTTTGTTTGCCAGGACAAACAGGATTCCCAAAAGGATGTTAAGAGTAACAATCATAAACTGGGTAAGCCATAAAACAGCCATACTAAACTTGGCCGTTTTTATCTTTCCCAGGTGGAGCTCCTTAGTGATCTTATTGCATATCAGCTTTGTGATATTTGCCTTCCTCTTTAGGTAAGCAGAGCGTCATAGACTCACAATTGAAATACTTATTATCTATGATTCATGATTCCTTTTTATTCATCACTTTATTGCTCTTCAGTTTGCATGAAAATTTCTTTTGTTCGTCGCAGTAATAGAAAAGTTTGTTTCCACTTTTATCATTATCACTGATATTATAATTCGCCAAATCAACAGAGTGACTTTTGTTTTGGGGAATTTCCAATTAACGGGTCGACTTACGAGAAACATCTACGCAGGAAGGCTGACATAATTAAAACAAAGTAAAAGAAAATTGATTATTTCACTTTGCTTTTATTAACATGGCATCGAGAAGACAAAAACTTATCCATTTCATCCTTTGAGTAACTTTTTTTCTCTTAATTAAGTAACATGTGGATTACATCCATTTAGCTCTGATCACCTTACATCGCGTAAAAGTAACGAATAGCCGTTCAAAATCATATCCTCTTTTTAAACTAAAGAACTATTGAGAACGTCGATACAGATGTCGTAAAGCACGCTACAATAAGCCAATATAAATCCTTGTTATAATGGTCCAAATAATCAGATTGGTTGACAAGACTAAAGCTGTCAAAAATGTCAAACCATCCCAGTTCACAACCATCAAAGTTCACAATCTGCAATAGTTTAAAAAAACTCAAATAGTTGGGCAGGTCGAATATATTCCTTTTGCCTGAAGTTTTTCTCTAATGTTAGTCTGAAGTTAGTCTCTAATAAAGAAACTGAAAATGAAATGTTCAATAAAATCCGGCCAAATTGTGGCTCATAAAAATACGCAAGCTTTTTTACATAACAATCAGAGAACAAACTGCTCAAGGCGTGTGTTTTATGCGGAATGAACGATAGCCGAATTCACAGGAACATGAAGATTGCTTGGAATGACAGCGCCGTCAAACTCGGCTGCTGTGACTGCTGTGGCTACCCACTCAATGCATTGGAAAGGATATCAGAGCAAGCTCTTAGTTGTTTACTCGAAGGGCGGGCGATGTAATTTCTGAGGCTTTCTTCACTACGATTACCGTAAATCGCCATGATGAGTTAGCCGCGATGGACCTCAGCACGATCGCAGTTGCTCTGAAACCTTCCTTATTAGCATGAAATTTAACAGTTGTGCCAGTTTGGCTATATTTTTCATCATTCCTGTTTTGTTTTGAACACAAAACTCTATATGCTATACCAGTGTTAACTGTGTTTGATTTTTATTATCGTACATAAGCTTGCAATCTAACTGAGTAAGAAAACCTTAAAAACTCGGTCCTTTTCAGACTTTGGGGCATATTTTCGCCAAACCTAAGGATCCTGTCACGAAAGAACAACGAACCGACGCCATTTATTCTATTCCTTGCAATGACTGTGATAACGAATACATCGGACAGACCAAACGCCAGTTTGGTACACGGTTAAAAGAGCACCAAAAAGCGGTTTTTCTTTGCAAAAAGGAAAATTCAGCTTTATCGGAGCATACTTGCCTAACCAACCATACAATTGGGTGGGATAATTCTAAAATTATCACCACTAATCGGCGTTACCACCAGCGCCTTTGTTTGGAGGCTTGGCACATTAACTCCGCCCACGCTCCTTTAAATCGTGACGATGGCGGTCTGCTTCCTGACGCCTATTTACACCTCGTCAGAAAAAAGGCCGCTAATTAGTGATCATATAAAAGGACCTCTTGTTGCAGCGTTTAGATCACCCCTGATGAAGGCACTAGACAGGAGTGTCGAAACGTTGGGTCTATGAATTGTAACTTCTTCGGTTACATTCATTAAATCTGCAAACCAGTGTAGCTTCAAACTATGTCGGTCTGTTTAGTTTTCGTCTCTGTTTGCGTTGTAATAACGTAAATTACGGCGCTTGGCATGCTTACAAACCTTTGTTTGCTTCTTCGGTTGCTACTTGCCAGCTCGTTTGTTCCGAAATTTCACTTTCAATTAACGAAAACAAGCAAGAGAGAAGTCCGCGAAATGGTCAGACATAATACAATTTGGCAGATGGCGTGACAGCTTTAGCTCAGCTCTGTACTCTGGAAGAGCACATTCTTTCAACAAATGACAGCACGCTCTTTTTCAGTTAATTTTTTAGCCTTTTTTAGTGCTTTTGAGGGCTTGTTTTCCTCTCCTTTTTATAAAAAGCGTTTTTTTTTTCATTAAAAAAAAATTGCAAGCCTAGTCATGTTTTTTTTTCTTTTTTGAAGGAGTTAGCAAACTTCTCCAAATTTTCACAACATTTCGAAAGCAACCTTGATGGTTCGAATGTTCCGAAGTATTTGATTGGCTAATGAGAGAACAGTTGTCAATCATAAAGTAAACCTTACCATCATGTCAATTCCAATTGGCTTTTGGAGTGGAGACCCATCAAGTTCGTATTATAATTGAATTAAAAAATTAACAAAACTCCATTTCTCTTGTCCGCTGGTATGAAATCCAGCCAAGTTGTGACTCACGAAAACGTGCACTACTTCGGAAAACAAAAACTTGCGGATGAAAAATGCAGCAAGATCGATCAACTTGTGACAAGTGGGAAGATCTGAAAGCTGCCTTTCTGATTGGAGGAAATGTTAGAGCGACCTTTCAGTTGATAACTCGTTAAAAATTCAACTTGACAACATACGAATATAATCCATAATCCAAAATATCATTATGTGTGATATATTGGCTTATTTTTTGTATGTTCAAACACCCGTGAAAACATGCATTTCGGGAAAGAAATATATATAACAAGTTTTATTTGTTCACATCAGATGGTTATTACCAGGCTAAGCCAGACAACTGACAAATAATTTTGCACATTTTTATACAATAAATATTCACATACAATTACAACATGTAGACATTAATCTCCCTTGCTTACAAACATCTAGGTATTAGGATAATATGTAAAGAGGAAAACTACAGACTAAACATAATTACAGTTAATAATTAATCTTCATCTTATTAATTAGAGTATCTATGTCGACATAGGAGTTTTCAGTTTCTAGAATTTCGATTAATTTTATTCGAAGTATAAAATGTTGGGAGAATCCTGTGCTCTTCAACAAAGGTACCCTACCTCACATCCATTGTTCTATTGTAGTGACGATAGAAACAATAAGCATCAACGCATATAATTCCTTTTTAAATTGATCCAAATCCCGCCATACGTTAGCACGTGGGGAAGTCCTAAAAATAGTTCATTATTGTTGATTCATACCTTCGCTTTCAATGCCATAATAATAATGTGTGAGTAAAAATGAAAACAAAAATGGAGACTGTCAGCTAAGTTTCGTGTTTATTCCCAAGTCTAAGGATCCGCTTTCAGAGGAAAAAAAAACCAAACAAATTAAAACAAAGCAAAAGATAAATAACCACAAGATAAGCTAATCCTTCCTGATGGAGGTAACTATGAATAAACTGAACTATTGTTTTCATGATCACAAGGCTAAAAGAGAATCATACAATCTGTTGAGCTTAAAATTACTCCAGAAATGGCAACTGCAATAAGTGCTCTAAATTCCAGCTCCTTTCCACTCATGTATACCTAACGTTTCTTGCTTTTTGCATAATTCATCGTATACTTCTTGGCGTTAACTTATCTGAAAAACCGCTATGAACAATGTTCTCTATAAGACATGTAAGAAAACATCTATTTACAATAAAAAAAAAAAGATTGAATGATCTTATCAGGAGTCGTATGGAAGGTTATTGGACTGATAAATTGTTATATTATACTCACAACAAAACATCTTATCCCTGATTGGTCAATAACCGGTATAAATTGTGTTATAGTATGCCGAATTACTGTTACAGCAAAACAAACAAAGAGTATGGGCTGCATAAAGTTCACGCCCCTGATAACTTGAGTGACGTGCTTCAGGTGTATATTGCGATTCTTCCCATTGATAACAATACATACATAACAAGTGGAGAAATAATGTTTATGGCATGCAAAAAAACCCAATTCCCGAGAGAGACCCGACGGTTTCTGAGAATACAACAATAGTGCCTTCAGATACGCTGTTACTTAGATATTACATTTAAGTTTTGTTTTGCCCAGGTGTTAAGAGGCTAAATTGTTTAAAAGATGTTTAAAATTAACTCTTTTATCAGAAGATGACTTGTAAATTAAATATGAGGAGGTCACCATTTACGGATAAAGACCAAATTTTTGACAGGTGCAAAAATCTTAAGCTAAAAGTTCATGATGCTGTAACCTTAACGCATCTTCGTTTGCTGCTTCAACGTTAGTTATGGGAGTTTCCATGGAAGAGTCGCAAAGCGTTGCATTAACTAGCGGACATAAATCTTCCAAAAGTCGCCGCGCGACAAATTGTTCGCCATGTCATCACATTGCCATCTGTTATTGCCTGGCCACGTGATCCAATGATGGTAATACTTGATAAATGCTGAGAACATATACAGCTCCCTATGCCCTTCATGTCCCCATTTTCCAACATGATACACGCCATTTTCCATCCCCCATTCTGCACATCTACTTGCAAGGACTGAATTATCTCCCTTGAGTTTTTCAAATGAACCACAGGCTTTGGGAAAAACTTCGGTATCACCAGCAAAGAACCTGGCTACAGCTTCACCAGAGCTGTTCGCGGCCGTTTTGACATGAAACGTTCGTCCATGTTGCTCTTTACGGCAGTGGAATCTCAGCTGAGTGAAAGATATGCGGGATCTCAGCTCTCGCATACCGTCAGGAGAGAGAACCAATCTGTTGTTTCTGTAAAGACTGACTCCTGTATATGTCTTTTCAATGGTCAAGTTGGTGGGGGGCACAGTTCCTCCAGCAATAACGTTATAGATTAGGAGCCAGCCTCCTGCCAGAAATTAAAAAAGAAAACGTGAATCGCACTTCTTGGGAGACCAGAAACAGCTCTTCCATTACCCTCCGTTGTTCTTACAAAAAATGGGTTACTTCTAGTTATTGTCTCCTTCTCTACCTACCGGCCTTATCTATTTAAAGAAGACAAGATGGTTGAATGGTTTTGTTCGCTTGTTATCACCTCAGTGGCTCCAGATTGAAAAACTGCTCGGACCACAAGATGGAGTTTTTCTATGTATTTCAGCTCGTGCTTCTCTGAATGAGTTTTAAAAAATCGTGCTGGTTTTGCAGCCTTTTGGAACTTTCACTTAAAATGTGGGCCACACCTTAAACTGCTCCCCTAAAATAGATATTTTAGTTTGTCTGTAGCATTCTTTGAATGTTTTTTCTGTATTTGATTATTTTGCAGTGTGTTTTTTTTCTTTCTCACGTTTAAAAAGCACAAAGGTTTGCCTCTGAAACTTTGCTGTTGCATACACAGCCAAAATTGCAGAAACAAGTTATTAACAGTGCTTACCTCCATCAGTTGTCATGTCGCAAAATACTTTTAAGGAACTTCCATTTTTGTCAGGGTTGATCCAGTACTCTCCGTCTTTTTGAAAGAAACCTGAGTCCCGGATGTCCTTACAGGAATGACCAGGCTGATTGAAGTATAAGCCTCTGGTAGCTGAAAAGGAAATAAGCTTTGATCTTGATGGGTTTATTAATCTTCACACAACGGTTAAGACGCTGAAAAAAGGGGAAAAAGCCATATGCAAACTTGAACATGACTGTCTGCATTTATCTTCAGGAAAGGGTTTTAAAAGGAGTCCCCAATTGAAAATTTACACTACCCTCATTGCACTTCAAAATCCTGTATTTTTTTTTGGCAACGTTTAAAGTAGAACGTTCTAGAACAGTCTCACCACTTACGTGTTGCACAATGTTTCCCTTTGTATCTTGGATGACACTGGCCGCTTTCAGTTGTTTGTTTTCGCCCGCGAGAGGCATCCATGCAGGAGGCCTGATTAGAAAAACAGGAAGGTGAACTTTTCTCCTCCATGTCTGCCATCGATCGTTGTTCAGAGTAAACAAAACTTGTTTTCTCGTTATCAGTATTCCGACGCTTAATGTGCGTTTTCAAAAAGGAAATTTGACGTTACCCTTACACTCCTGTCAACACTCAGAGCACGCTATACAAGTAAAAAAGAAACCTTTTGGTTCCCAGGTTGTTGCAAAACAGGTTGAATTGCAAAAAGAAAATGATGATAGTTAAGACTCGCTTGGAGAAACGTTTGCCCGAAATTTTTAACTGCCTGGTGTACCGTTTACGAAGTGAACGCCTACTTGTAACTCAATAACAATTGATTCTCTCAGTTTTCATAACTATACAGCAAAAGTTCCGAAACATAGTTCTTGGCAGTGAACAAGATAGGAAAGTTATCAACAAACCTGCTTAACCCAGAACCCACCTGAACAGAGCTGTAGTATGTAGATCCTTGCTTTTTTTTAAAATGACCTGGCTTCATCTTTCGTGTTTTATTATTCAACTCACAGCTTCGTTTTCCATTGCTGTCACCGGGATGAACATTGATCGATTTACAGCTGTAATTTCCCATACATTTTAACTGGCATTCGAACTCGTCCACAACAACAGTCGTTTGGATAACATGACCCACCAAGGCATGGTCTGAAAGGAAAAAACGTTCTTTCTAGTAACTACTAGCTATACAAAGAGAGTATAAGAATCGGTTTTTACTTTGTTGTTGTTGTTGTTGTTGTCGTTTTTTTCTTTTTTTTGAAGTATTTACTCACCGACTCGAGTTTCAAAAATACTTCCACAAAAGTCTTTGTTTGCCAGGACAAACAGGATTCCCCAAAGGATGTTGAGAGTAAAAGTGGCAAACTGGATCAGCCATAAAACAGCCATGCTAAAAATGGCCGTTTTATCTTTCTCAAATGGAGCTCCTTAGTTTTCTTGTTGTATGTCAGCTTTCTAATATTTGCCTTCCTCTGTAAGCAGAGCGTCATTGACTAACAGTTGAAATACTTATTACCTATAATTCATGATTCCTTTTTATTCATCGCTTTAATTGCTCTTCAGTTTGCGTGAAAATTTCTTTTGTTCGTCGAAGCAAGAGAAAAGTTTGTTTTTACTTTTATTATTATCACTGATATTATAATTCGCCAAATCAACAGAGTGGCTTTTGTTTTGGGAAATTTCCAATTACTGGACCGACTTTCCTCACGAAAAACATCCACACAGGGAGCCTGACATAATTAATACAAATAAATGACTGTTTCAATTTTTTTTCTTAACATGGCATTGTGAGGACAAAAACTTATCCATTTCATCCTTTGAGTAACTTTTTTTCTCTTAATTAAGAAAGTTTTTTATAATCACGAATAGTCGTTCTAAATAATATACTCCTTTTAAACTAAAGAACTATTGGGAACGTTGATACAGATGCCGAGAACATACCAAAAACGTAATTAACTTGAGACTGAAGTGCACCTAATAATTTGCATCAGGCTACAAACTTTTTGTGAACAGGTGACATAACCAACTCGTGCTTCAACACATTATCTTTGCAGAAACGTAACGGATATATATATATATATAGGACACCTTAAAACGTTACGTCCGTCCAATTAACATTTTTTTTGTCATTCTCAACTCTCGGATCGATAAATGGAAAAAACCGGTAAAGTTCCGAATTTCTCTGCCTTGTAACCCATAAAATCAACAAGATCGTTTTATGCTCAATAAGAAAGACGAAATGAAGACCCCTCATTTTTGCTTCGCCTTTAGCAGCCAAATTAGTAAAAGCTATATTTTTTTAGCTCTCAAGAACTAAAATTGCTCTCTGCTTCGCTTCGAGTAACTCTTACGCTTTTCTTGGGAATGCACCTGTTTATTCATAATTTGAAACAAATAGAGTCAAGCCTTGACTGTGCTCTGTTATGTTGTAAATCACGCAGGAAGCGGCGAGAGCACGAAAGAAGTGGGGAGATAGGAAGATTCACAGTGGAAAACTGGATCAACTATAAAACAGTCATTCTACTTTATTTCTGTATTATCGCTCTTCTTATCCATGAGGAACTTCTTCACTTGATAAACAAAATCTGCATTTAAATCAGTCTCCCTTAAAGCGCCTGTGACACGATTTTTTTTTTTGCGTAAATCACATGTACAAACCAATTATAATAGAAGAAAAGTTTCAAAAAACTTTAAACTCGACGACATTGAGGAGTAAAATCTCCTTGATGATGTCGACGTTCGAAACGCGTCCATTTTGGCCATACAGCTACATTCTTTGGAAAGTAGTGTAAAGAAATACCCGGTATATGTGTATTATTCTTGCAGCTAGCATCATTTGGCGCTCCGGCCACGGAGCCAGATCTTAAACATACAAAGATTTCTCCTTTCTCCACCATGCATAGTTGCCGACGTGTCTTGACAGTTTTCTTTATCACAGCTATATTACATGATCGTTTTGGCCGCGCGCATAATGGAGACACTTTTTGGCCGCCAAATAGTACTTTCAATGCACAAAAAATGGTTAAGAAGAACTCGCTAGACGCTAAGGTCTATTATTTCTAAATTTAAATACAGCTATCAACCAGAAAATTCTAAAGCAAATTTCATGTCATAGGCACTTTAATTCTTCCTAATTTGTTTTCCTCTACAAGTAGGGCCCCTCCTTAAGTTTTAGTCCTTTAATTGCTTTTGATTTAATTTAATTGCTCTCTTTTTTGAAAAAAAGGTGTTTTCTTTTATCATAAAATAGAACTGAGAGATTTGTTGTGTTTTTCCTTTTTCTTTTTTGAAAGAGTTAGCACACTTTTCGAAATTTGCACAACATTTCGAAAGCAACCTTAATGGTTTGAAAGGTCCAAAGTATTTGATTGGCTAACGAGAGAACAGCTGTCAACCACAAAGTGAACCTTACCTATAATATAAATTTTAATTGGTTTTTGGAATGGAGACCCATCAATTTACAGTTCGTTTTTTAATCAATTTAAAAATAAAGAAACTTCATGTCTTTTCTTCAATGGCATGGAATCCAGCCAATATGTGGCTCACGAAAACGTGCACTTTTTTGGTTAACAATTACGAAAAAAAGAGCCAAAAACTTGCGGATGAAAAATGCAGTAAGATTGACCGAACTTGCGACAAGTGGAAAGATCTGAAACCCGATTAGAGGAAATTTTAGAGCGACCTTAAGGTTGATAACTCGTTAAAAATTCAACTTGACAACATACAAATATAATCCATAATTTATGACCATGGTAAAAACTCCATTAGGTATGATATATTGGCTTATTTGTGGTAGGCTCAAACATCCGTGAAAACATGCATTTCGAAGTAGAAAATGTAGGGAAAATCTTGTGCTCCTGAAAAAAGGTATCCTACCTCACAACCATTGTTCTAGTGTAGTGACGATGGAAACAATAAGCATCAAACACACAGTTCTTTTTAAATTGATCCAAATCCCGCCATACGTAAGCACGTGGGGAAGTCCCAAAAATAGTTCATTATTGTTGATTTGAAAACAAAAATGGAAACTGTCAGCTATATTTCGTGTTTATTCCCAAGTCTAAGGATCCACTCTCAGAGCTGAAAAAAAAACAAACAAATGAAAACAAAGCAAAAAATAAATAACAACAAGATAAGCTAATCCTTTTGATGGAGGTAACTATGAATGTACTGAACTATTGGTTTCATAACGACAGAGCTCAAAGATAATCATACATAGTACTAAATTGAGCTTAAAGTTACTTTGGAAAATAGCAACTGCAATAAGTGCTCTAAATTCCAGCTCCTTTCCACTCATGTGTCCCTAACGTTTCTAGATTTTTCTATACTTCATTGTGTTCTTCTTGGCTTTAAATTATCTGAAAAAACCGCAATGAAGAACAACAATTTCTATAAGACATATAGGAATACACCTATTTACAATAAAATAGGAGTCGCACGAAAGGGTAATTTGACTGATAACGTGTTATTTTATATCCACAACGAAACATCATATCCCTGATTGGTCAATGATCAATACAAAATGTGTTATAGTATGCCGACTCATTTGTTACAACAGCTAAACCAGCAAAGAGTGCGTTCTGCATAAAGTACACGCCCCTGACAACTTGAGTGACGTGCTTCAGGTGTATATTGCGATTCTTCCTTTCCATAACAATACATACAAGTTGAGATATAATGTTTAAGACGTGCAACAAATACCAATTTCCGAGAGAGGCCCGATGGTTTCTGAGAATATGATAATAGTGCCGTTAAATACGTTGTTACAAAGATATTACATTAAACTTTTGTTTTACTAAGGTGTTCAGAGGGCAAGATAACTCAAAGATCTTTAAAATGAACTCGTTTATCAGAAGCTGACTTGTATATTAAATATGAGGAGGTCACCAATTATGGATAAAGAACGGATTTTCGACAGGCCCAAAAATCTTGAGCTAAGAGTTCAAGATGCTCTAATCTTAACGTATCTACGTTTGCTCCTTCAACGCCAGTTACGGGGTTTCCACTAAAGAGTCGCAAAGCGTTACATTAATTAACGGACATAGATCTTCCAAAAGTCGCCGCGTGTCAAATCTTTTAGACTGTCATCACAATCCCATCTGTCAAGGACTGGCGAAGTGACCCAATGATGGTGAGCAAAAATGAATGCTGAGTATATATACAGCTCCTTTTGCCCTTGATGTCCCCATTTTCCAACATGATACGCGCCGTTTTCCCTCCCCCATTCTGCGCATCTACTTGCAAGGACTGAGTTGTCTCCCTTGAGTTTTTCGAATGAACCACAGGCTTTGGGAAAAACGTCGGTATCACCACCGAAAAACCTAACTACAGCTTCACCAGAGCTGTTCGCGGCCGTTTTGACATGAAACGTTCGTCCATATTGCTGTTTACGGCAGTGGAATCTCAGCTGAGTGAAAGATATGCGGGATCTCAGCTCTCGCATACCGTCAGGAGAGAGAACCATTCTATTGCTGCTGTAACGACTGACTCCTGCATATGTCTTTTCAATGGTCAAGCTGGTCGGGGGCACAGTTCCTCCAGCAATAACATTATAGATCAGGAGCCAGCCTCCTGCCAGAAATTAAAAAAGAAAATGAGAATCACATTTCTTGGGAGACCGCCAACATCTCTTCCATGACCCTCTGTTGTTCTTACAATAAAAAGGTGGGCTGCTTCGAGTTATGCCATTGCACCACGGCGCAAAGGTACTATTATCTACTTAGAGAAGACAAGATAGCAGAACAATTTTGTTGGCTTGTTATTACCTCAGTGGCTCCAGATTGAAACCGTGCTTCGACCACAAGCTGGAGTTTTTCTCTTTATTTCAGTTCGTACTACTCTGCAAGTGTTTGGCTCCAGCCTTTTGAAACTTTCACTTGAAATGCAGGCCTCACCTTAAACTCCTCCCCTAACGCAAATGTTTTCGTTTGTCCACGTTTTTCAGTAGCATTCTTTGAATGTTTTTTCTGTATTTAATTATTTTGCAGTATGTTTTGTTTTTTTTTCCTCGGGTGCAAACACCCCGACGGTTTGCCCCTGCAGCGTTGTTCTTCTATATACGACCAATATTGCAGAAAAGAGTTATTTACAGTGCTTACCTCCATCAGTTGTCATGTCACAAAATACTTTTAAAGAACTTCCATTTTTCTCAGGGTCGATCCAGTACTCTCTGTCTCCTTTAGAGTCCCCAGCTTCCAAAATCTGCTTGCAGGACAGAGCAGGATGACGGGAAGACCAGCCAGGTACAGCTGCGAAATTAAATATGTACTATTCTTTAATGTCGTGGTTTAGGGTCAATAACAAATAATTTCGGATGTCCTTACAGGAATTACCAGGCTGATTGAAATATAAGCCTCTGGTAGCTGAAAAGGAAATGAGCTTTGATCTTGATGGGTTTATTAATCCTCACACACCAGTTAAGACGCTGAAAAAAGGGAAAAAAGGTATGCGCAAACTTGCATATGGCTGTCCGCATTTATCTTCAGAAATGGGTTTTAAAAGGAGTCTTCAATTGAAAATTTACACTATCCTCATAGCACTTAATAGTCATGTATTTCGTTTAACAGCGTCTAAAGTAGAACTTTTCAAGAACAGTCTCACCACTTACGTGTTTCACAATGTTTTCCTTTGTATTCCGGATGACACTGGCCCCTTTTAGTTGTTTTTTTTCGCCCGCGAGAAACATCCAAGCAGGAGGCCTGAATAGTAAACAGAAAGGTGAACTTTTTTCTTCCCGTTCTGCCATCGATCGTTGTTCAGAGTAAACAAGGCTTGTTTTCTCGTTATCAGTATTCAGACGCTTAATGTGCGTTTTCAAAAAAAACGTTGCCATTACACTAATGTCAACACTCAGAACACGCTATACAAGCAGAAAGGAAACCTTTTGGTTCTTGCGTTGTTGCAAAACGGGAATTGCAAAATGATGAAGATAGCTAAGACTCGCTTGGAGAAAAGTTTGCCCGAGATTTTTAACTGTCTGGTGTTCTGTTTACGAAGTGAACGCCTATTTATAAGCCAATAACAATTGATTCTCCCAGTTTTCATTAGTATATAGCAGTAGTTCCGAAACATTGTTCTTGGCAGTGAATTACATAGGAAAGTTATCAACAAACCTGCTCAACCTAGAACCCACCTGAACAGAGCTATAGTATGTAGATCCTTTCTTCTTTTTAAAATGACCTGGCTTCATCTGCCGTGTTTTGTTATTCAACTCACAGCTATGTTTTCCACTGCCTTCACCGCGATGAACATTGATCGACTTACAGCTGTTACTTCCCATACATTTTAACTGGCATTCAAACTCGTCCACAACAACAGTGGTCTGGATAACATGACCTACCAAGGCATGGTCTGAAAGGCAAAAAAGCGTTCTTTGTAGTTACTAGCTAAAGAAAGAGAGTATAAGAATGTTTTTTTCTTTTTTTTTGTTTTGGTTTTTTTTTTTTTGAAGTATTTACTCACCGACTTGAGTTTCAGAAACGCTTCCACAAAAGTCTTTGTTTGCCAGGACAAACGGGATTCTCAAAAGGATGTAAAGAGCAACAATCGTAAACTGGGTAAGCCACAGAACAGCCATACTAAAATTGGCCCTTTTATCTTGTCGAGGTGGAGCTCCTTAGTTTTCTTATTGCATATCAGCTTTCTTATATTTGCCTTCCTTTGTAAGCAGAGCGTCATTGACTCACAATTGAAATACTTATTATCTATAATTCATGATTCCTTTTTATTCATCGCTTTACTAAAGCAATGATTGCTCTTCAGTTTGCATGAAAATGTCTTTTGTTCGTCGCAGTAATAGAAAAGTTTGTTTCTATTTTTATCACTATCATTGATATTATAATTCGCCAAATCAACAGAGTGACTTTTGTTTTGGGGAATTTCCAATTAACGGGTCGACTTACGAGAAACATCTACGCAGGAAGCCTGACATAATTAAAACAAAGTAAAAGAAAATTGATAATTTCACTTTGCTTTTATTAACATGGCATCGAGAAGACAAAAACTCATCCATTTCATCCTTTGAGTAACTTTTTTTCTCTTAATTAAGTAACAAGTGGATTACATCTATTTAGCTCTGATCACCTTATATCACTTAAAAGTAACGAATAGCCGTTCAAAATCATACACTCTTTTTAAACCAAAGAACTACTGAGAACGTCGATACAGATGCCGAGAACATACCAAAAACGTAATTATCCTGAGAGTTAAAGATGAAGCGTACCTAATAATTTGCATTAGACTGCAAACTTTTCGTGAACAGCTGACATTACCAACTCGTGCCTCAATACATAATCTTTGCAGAAAAGGAACGGATACATATGACATACCTTTAAACGCTACGTATGTACGAATTAAGTTCCGAATTTCTCTGCCTTGTAACCTATAAAATTAACAAGATCGTTTTATGCTCAACGAGAAAGACGAAATGAAGACCCCCCATATTTGCTTCGCCTTTAGCAGCCAAATTAGTTAGAGCTGTATTTTTTTAGCACTCAAGAACTAAAACTGTTCTCGGCTTCGCCTCGAGCAACTCTTACGCTTTTCTCGGGAATGCATCTGTTTAATCATAAATAACAAATAGAGAAGCCTTGACTGTACTCTCTTATGTTGTAGATCACGCAGGAGCGGCCAAAGCACGAAAGAAGCAGGAAGAAAGAATACTTAAAATTCCCCACAAGTTATTTTCAATTTCCAAAAGTAGGGAGAAAGACTCCTTAAAATTTCCCACACACTACTTTCAATTTTCAAAAGTAGAGAGAAAGAATCCTTAAAACTTCCCACACATTACTTTCAATTTTCAAAACAAAATTTATTGTCAAAGCGAACAACAGTGTCGTCAGCATGCTCCGTGCTGTCAGAAAGCTCCCTACAATCCAATAGGAATCCTTGTTATAATGGTTCGAATAATCAGATTGGTTGACGAGACTAAAGCTGTCAAAAAATGTCAAACCATCCCAGTTCACAACCATCAAAGTTCACAATCTGCAAAAGTTTACAAACTGAAATAGTTGGGCAGGTCGAATTTACCATTTTTGCCTGAAGTTTTTCTCTAATGTTAGTCTGAAGTTAGTCTCTAATGCAGAATCTGAAACTGAAATGTTCGGTGAAATCCGGCCAAATTGTCAGAGAACAAACTGCTCAAGGCGTGTGTTCTATGAATGAACGACAGCCGAATTCACAGGAACATGAAGATTGTTTGGAATGACAGCGCCGCACAACTCGGCTGCTGTGACTGATGTGGCCATCCACTCAATTCATCGGAAAGGATATCAGAGCAAGCTCTTAGTTGTTTACTCGAAGGGCGGGCGATGTAATTTCTGAGGCTTTCTTCACTACGTTTACCGGAGATCGCCGTGATGGTCCAGCCGCGATGGACCTCAGCATGATCGCAGTCCCTCTGGCACCTTCATGATTAGTATGAAATTTAACAGTTGTGCCAGTTTGGCTATATTTTTCATCATTTCTGTTTTGTTCTGTTTTGTTTTGAACACAAAACTCTATATAATACAACACTGTCAACTGTGTTTGATTTTTATTACCGTACATAAGCTTGCTATCTAACTGAGTAAGAAAACCTTGGAAACTCGGTCTGTTCATTTTTCGTCTCTGCTTGCGTTGTAATAACGTAAATTACGGCGCTTGGCATGCTTACAAACCTTTGTTTCACGCTCTTTCAACAAATGACAGTGCGCTCTTTTTCAGTTAATTTTATTGTCTTTTTTAATGCTTTTGAGGGCTTGTTTTCCTCTCCTTTTTAGAAAAGCGTTTGTTTTCTTTTTTCCATAAGCAAAATTGCGAGCCTAGTTATGTTTTTTTTCTTTTTTGAAGGAGTTAACAAACTTCTCAAAATTTTCACAACATTTCGAAAGCAACCTTAATGGTTCGAATGGTCCAAAGTATTTGATTGGCTAATGAGAGAACAGCTGTCAATCACAAAGTGAACCTTACCCATCATGTCAATTTCAATTGGCTTTTGGAGTGGAGACCCATCAAGTTCGTTTTATAATTGAATTTAAAAAATTAACAAAACTTCATTTCTCTTGTCCGGTGGCATGGAATTCAGCCAAGTTGTGGCTCACGAAAACGTGCACTTTTTCGGTAAACAATTACGAAACAAAAGGCTAAAAACCTGCGGATGGAAAATTGCAGTAAGATTGACCGAACCTGCGACAGGTGGGAAGATCTGAAAGCTGCCTTTCTGTCTGGAGGAAATGTTATAGCGACTTTTCAGTTGATAAGTCGTTAAAAATTCAACTTGACAACATATGAATATAATCCATAATCCAATATATCATTATGTATGATATATTGGCTTATTCGCTGTAGGTTCAAACACCCGTGAAAACATGCATTTCGAAGTAAAATACGTCGGGAGAATCTTGTGCTCTTGAACCTCACAGCCATTGTTCTCGTGTAGTGACGATGGAAACAATAAGCATCAAAGCGCACAATCAATTCCCGCCATACGTTACCATGTGGGGAAGTCCTAAAAATAGTTCATTATTGTTGATTTAAACTTCCGCTTTCAATGCCATAATAATAATGTGTGAGTAAAAATGAAAACAAAAATGGAAACTGTCAACTAAGTTTCGTGTTTATTCCCAAGTCTAAGGATCCGCTTTCAGAGGAAAAAATTAACAAACAAAGTTGAAAATAAATATCAACAAGATAAACACATCCCTCTAGATGGAGGTAAATATGAATGAACTGAACTATTGGTTTCATGATCACAAGGCTAAAAGAGAATCATACACAGCACTACAATCTGTTGAGCTTAAATTTACTTCGGAAAATGGCAACTGCAATAAGTGCTCTAAATTCCAGCTCCTTTCCACTCATGTGTACCTAACGTTTCTTGCTTTTTCAATACTTCATTATGTACTTGGCTTTAATTTATCTGAAAATCCGCGATGAACAGCAACATTTTCTACGAGACATGTAGGAATACACCTATTTACAATAAAAAAAGATCGAATGATCTTTTCAGAAGTCGCATGGAAGGGTCATTTGACTGATAAATTGTTATTTAATACCAACAATGAAACGCTTCAACCCTAACTGGTCAATGATCGATACAAAATGTGTTATAGTATGCCGACTTATTGTTATAATGGCAAAACCAACAAAGAGTGCGGGCTGCATATAAAGTACACGCCCTGACAACTTGAGTGACGTGCTTCAAGTATGTATTGCGATTCTTCCTATCCATAATAACACAAAAAAGTTGAGAAATAATGTCTAAGATATGCAGAAAATACCAATTCCCAAGAGGGGCCCGACGGTTGCCTTTAGATACGCTGTTACTAAGATATTACATTAAATTTTTGTTTTGTCAAGTTGTTAAGATGATGAGTTGATTCAAAGATCTTTAAAATTAACTCGTTCATCAATGATGACTTGTACATTAGATTTGAGAAGGTCACCAATTACGGATAAAGAACGGATTTTCGACGGGCGCAAAAATCTTAAGCTAACAGTTCAAGATGCTCTAATCTTAAAGTATGTTCGTTTGCTCCTTCAACGCCAGTTACGGGGTTTCCACTAATGAGTCGCAAAGCGTTGCATTAATTAACGGACATAAATCTTCCAAAAGTCGCCGCGCGTCAAATCGTTCCGATAGTCATCACATTCCCATCTGCCATGGCCTGGCCACGTGGCCCAATGACAGTAATTTGCAATGAATGCTGAGTACATATACAGCTCCTTATTCCCTTCATGTCCCCATTTTCCAACATGAAACACGCCGTTTTCCTTCCCCCATTCAACGCATTTACTTGCAAGGACTGAGTTGTCTCCCTTAAGTTTCTCAAATGAGCCACAGGCTTTGGGAAAAACGTCGGTATCACCGCCGAAAAACCCGACTACAGCTTCACCAGAGCTGTTCGCGGCCGTTTTGACATGAAACGTTCGTCCATGTTGCCGTTTACGGCAGTGGAATCTCAGCTGAGTGAAAGACATGCGGGATCTCAGCTCTCGCATACCGTCAGGAGAGAGAACCATTCTGTTGCTGCTGTAGCGACTGACTCCTGCATATGTCTCTTCAATATTCAAATTGGTGGGGGGCACAGTTCCTCCAGCAATAACGTTATAGATTAGGAGCCAGCCTCCTGCCAAATATTAAAAAAAAAATGTGAACCGCGTTTCTTCGGAGACCGGAAACAGCTCTTCCACGACTCACTGTTGTTTTCACAATAAAAAATGGGCTACTTCTAGGTATGTCTTTGCGCCACGGCGCAAAGGCACGGTCTCTCCCTCCACCTACCGGCCTTATCGATTTAAAGAAGAAAAGATAGTAGAATGGTTTTGTTCGCTTGTTATAACCTCAACGGCTCCAGATTGAAACCATGCTTTAACCACAAACTGGAGTTTTTCGCTGTTTTTCAGCTCCTGCTACTCTGAAGGAGTCTTAAAAAAATCCTGCTGGTTTGGGTCCAGCATTTTGGAACTTTCACTTGAAATGCGGGCCACACCTTAAACTCCTACCCTAAAACAGATGTTTTTGTTTGTCTTCTTTTGTCTGTAGCATTCTTTGAATGTTTTTTTTCTGTATTTAATCATTATTCAGTATGCTTTGGTTTTTTTTTTTTTCTTCTCAGGTTCAAATACCACAAGTGTTTACCTCTGCAGCCTTGCTGTTCAATACACAGTCAAAATTGCGGAAAAGAGTTATTTGCAGTGCTTACCTCCATCAGTTGTCATGTCACAAAATACTTTTAAAGAACTTCCATTTTTCTCAGGGTCGATCCAGTACTCCCCGTCTCCTTTTGAGTCTCCAGCTTCCAAAATCTGCTTGCAGGACAGAGCAGGATGACGGGAAGACCAGCCAGGTACAGCTGCGAATTTAAATATGTTTTATTTTTTAGTGTCATGGTTCAGGGTCAATTGCCAAATAATTTCGCTTTGAAGAATAGTTGTGCTATGTTTTTATCCATTCGGACCATCTTGGTCGCGGATGGCTGTTCTTGGTCAGCAGAGTAATATAGACATGGAGGATGTGAGATATTTAGGACCATTTACTTATGCAGTCAAACGTAAATTTCTTCTTGGTGTAGCTGTACCGAATGAGATGTGAATCACGACACACCCGTGTATGTGTTTCTGTCTGTTTCTGTTTTGGAAGTTGAAAACATGGAGTGTTTCTCACGTGTTAGGCAGCCTTTCCCTTTGCGTCCTGGATGATAATGGCCGGAGTTTCTCGCTGCTTTCTCATCGTAAAAAACTTCGATGCAGGAAATCTACGTTGAAAAAGATTCGGAACATATTATACCGGTCAAATGTAATTATTAAACGTCTCCAAATGTTTAGTGAACAGTTTTAAAAATTTTTTCAATTTTTTCGAAGTTTTTATGTACTTTGATGACGTTTCTATGTTCAAATAATCAAATATTGCAGTCACGGTTGCAGATTTCTAATAGTTAACTCCGATTCATTTCTCTTTCAAGTTTAAAGTAACTAAATTATTTGAAAAGGAAATTTTGCACATTTCTCAGGAACTGAAGTATTTTCACTTCTAAGTTTCAATTGAATTGTATTTTTTGGTAAACTTGCCGCTCATAAATAATTGAGAAACTCTTTCTAAAAATCAGAAGATAGATGGATGCAATGAGACAGAGAACTGACTCCAGTAAACTTTGTTTAAACTTAACTCTTTCTGGACTTTTCAACGACAGGAATTAAGTTCCAATAAGCACCACTGATAAATCGATAAGCACGGAAAGTATATAGAAGAAATTCCATCTAACCAGTTTCATTGTTTAACTGCAAAAATAATTCGTCGATTGATTTCCTCGCACGAAATAAATATCGATGACAAGGTAAACACTAAACACGAAGAAATCGTATTTTGTCATTCGAACTTTGTTGAAAAAGTTAAAAAAAAAACAAACAAACAAAAATATATATTTCCCATCGTATTTTTCCATTCGAACTTTCTTGAAAGAGCTAAAAAAACAAAAATATATGTATTTTCAGTAGTCAAAGAGCGAAAACGCGACTTCGTGAAACGGGAGTTGTCAAGATCGCCGATTAATGAATTTAAGTATGAACCAAGAAAACGTAATTTAAAGGAATTCACGCAAACAACTGAACTTACCTGCACCAAACCGTAGTACGTAGATCCTCTCTTTCTTTTAAAATCAGCTGCTTTCATCAGTCGAGTTTTGTTGTTCAGCTCACAAATAACATCGTTTTCCTCCGGGTAAACGTTACACGATTTACAGCGGCTTTCCTTCTCAATACATTTCTCCTGGCATTCAAATTCGTTTTTAACAACACTCTTTTCCATGACATTACCAACAAGAATATGATCTAGGAGTTATGAGTACATGAAAATCTCTTAAGAACTGGTGAATATCGCTACTGTTCTGTTTATGATTGTCTTACAAATGCAAATCGAAAGAAAAGGAATTCATTTTCTACGGGTTTTCTTTTTTTTCACTTACCAACTTGGGTTTCGAAGACGCGTCCGCATAAGTCAGAGTTTGCCATCACAGATAAAATCAGGCAGGAGATGATAAGAATTGTAAAGGCCAACTGAATCGGACCTGTATTAGCCATTGACTGATAAAGGCTTCCCTTGAACTCTTGTCGTAACTGAATCAAAACTCTTTCAACGGCAGCTTTTACAAAAGAGAGATTTCGATGTTTGTACAGAGGGGCGGTGGTTGCACCGAAAGAAATTATATTTTGCGTATGAACTCTGCCTTTTGAATTCTTTCCGCAACCTTGTATTGTTTTAAGTTGGTTTTCTCACAATTGATAAAATAAACAAAGCTTCCTAATAATTTACGTACTGCATTATAGTTTTATAGTTTAAATCCCAAGGGGCAAATAAGCTCAAAGTAAACTACAATGAAACTGAAAGAAACCGAAAAAAACTTTTAAAAAAATTTGTTTCTCATCGATTTAATCATCAACCACTTGACGCAAACAAAAGAGATTCAATCTCCCACCAGGAATTTTTTTTAAAATATTTTTGTGCATAATTGTCAGTGTTGTGTTTTTTCTTAAACCCTCATAACAATTTCATAGTAATTTTTGTTTTCTTACAATCATCGTCAAGACTAGCCAGGCGAGGGGGCTATGAATATAACTCCCAACACCTGCTCTTAGTGATAATAACATACATTTCCTTTCCCATATTTCATAGTACACTAAAAAAATTGATTTTCTTTTGGTTTCCTCTCAAACGTCATTCCATGAAGACGAGTGTGATTACTCTTATCTTCATTTATCAATCCGCAATTACATTCACAGTCGTTCAAACCTCATTCCGTTGATCCTTAGATCCTCAGATGTTGTCAAAGCTGTAAAAAGGAAATTTTTCCTCATCGCAATCACTATTCAGTTTCAGTGATAAATAATTCAATATTGATATAAATAAAATTTGAAAACATTCGGGAAATTGTATCTTCATTATTTTAATCAGTTGGAATTTTTAACCTTGCTTTGTGTCATGACATTGGAACTGAATCAATTTTAAAATATTCTCACTGATTTCCCCGGCCTTATCAGCCTGATGTGTTTTGAATACTGCTGATGATAGCAAATCATTATTTTTAATTATTTACGGATTTTATTCCAGTGCTCTTTGTTTAAGTTTATGTATCAATCTACAGCATTACCTCTCAGTCTGGGTTCCTTTTCAATTCTCCAAGAGTTGATAATATTCATATTTTTTCTTCTTAATTTGATTGGATGACAAAACTCGATAGCGGAACGACTCTCTACAGCAGAGATTTGCACTTTAAGGCTAAATGAACTTGCTGATACAATGGAGTACGTCAAGATATTGAATAAAGTTACCCAAAAGATTTACAAGTTACAGTCTTTAGTGCCTGCAGAAAATCGTAATGTCCAACTTTCAATACCCGCAGAAGATTGCAATGTCTGACATACAGTACCCGCTGAACATTGCCAACTTTAAGAACTTGCGCCTGAATTAACGTAACGAAGTCTTCCTTTAATCGACAATATTTTGAAAGATAATTTACTATTTACCATGTGGCAAGGTTGTAAACTTCTCACATCGTAGTTTTGAATGCTAGCGTCTCAAAAGTAAATAGAAAATGTTCTAGAATGCAGAAGTGACAAAGTTGCAAAGTTATCAACGGACAGATTCTCCAGAAGTCACCAGATGCAGCAATTTTCTCCAAAGTATTATCACATTGCCATGTGTTAGAACCTAGCCAAGTGATCCAGTGATAGCTACCCACAATGAATGCTGAGTATACAGACAGCTCCTTCTGCCCTTCATGTCCCCATTTTCCAACACGATACGCGCCCTTTTTTATCCCCCATTCTACGCATCTACTCGCGAGGACTGAGTTGTCTCCCTCAAGTTTCTCAAATGAACCACAAGCTTTGGGAAAAACGTCGGTATCACCGCCAAAAAAGCGACTACAGCTTCACTAGAGGCGTTAGCAGCTGTTTTGACGTGGAAAGTTCGTCCAGGTTGCTGTTTACGGCAGTGGAATCTCAGCTGATTGAAAGGTAAGATTGTTCTCAGCTCTCGGATACCGTCAGGTGAAAGAACCAGCTTGTTGTTGTAGTAACGATTGATTCCCCTGTATGACTTCTCAACATCCAAACTGATCGGGGTAGACGACTGATTTATCACAATATTATATATCGGAAGCCAACCTCCTAGCGATAAAAAAGAAAGAAAATATTTTAAAAAGATTTAGATAAAATGGCAGGATTCCTCCTTTTTCTAAAACTATATATATTGTATTTCCAGCGCGCAGTGGTTATACCATTAAAATCTTCTACAAGTACACCATATCGTCACGGCAACCATGGCGACTGAGGATATCATCTGAGCCTCTTTAATTTTTTTTGTGGGCCTTTTGTAATTTCTAGACAACACCGAAGACAAATTGAACCTTTTTGATACATGGAAAAGAGATAATAAGGCGACGACTAGTTTTATTTTTTTTCGAAAGTTGAAGGACCCATGATCTGCTTCCTAAGCACTTATCTGTTTTATTTATCTTTTATACCTAACAAATAAAATGATATTTCTAACCCCTGATTTGAGTCTGATTTAGTATTGCACTGGTTACTTAGGGTTCACTAACTCTTTTTCACACAAAAACAAATCATAATCACTTGTGCCTCATTTACACAAGGAACATTTATTTCTTCAACTTCACGGAGAAAAATTTTAATTATATTCGAAATGTTATTTCAGCACTTACCTCCATCAGTTGTCATATCACAATACACCTTTAAAGGTTTCCGTTCAAGGTCGATCCAGTACTCCCCGTTCCCTTTAGATCTTCCAATTTCCCGTATGTGCTTGCAAGATTGAGCAGGATAACTGGAATGCCAGCCAAGAAAAGCTGAAAATGAAAAAGGTTGTATTCTATCTAAGAAGAAGACGAAAAAGATTCTCCTCAATTGGCAAATTAATAAAGGGGGTAAGAGCGATTGGCTAACGCTCAAAACTTCAGTTTTTAAACTCTTTAGAGTGGCCAATTTACATTATCAACTCAGTTGATGATACTAAATAACCTTCTTCTACTGTGGAAAAACGGCCGGGTGTTACGATCCAAGGGTTTTTACCATCTTAAATAAACGAAATATAACATATCCAATGGGAACTTGGTTATTGAAGTAGTGTGGAGTTAACGCGTGAAACGCGAAAATTTCTGTTACATAATTCGCTTTTCTTGGAGTCACTATGATATAACAGTTCAAAAATGATATCGTTCATTCTTTGGTCCTGCCTCAGGTCAAAAACCAAGCGTACTCACGCGCGAGACATCCTCCATAGTAGGACCTGTCGTTTTTTCGTCGTAATAACATAGTGGAAGCTAGGACTGTAGGAGATCTGTAACATGTGCAGTTAGAATTGCATTAATCCTTTTTCAACATGCAAACTCAGGAGTTCTTACATTTGACGCTGTTGTCAGTCATGTCACTGACTTTCCAGGAAGTCAGGTGCTTTTGATGCACTTTGTTTGGCTTTTAGATGTCTGCCATCGTATGATCGGAGCGTGGTATTAAACAGCGCGAAACAACATAATCTCGCACAAAAGGAAAAAGACAGAAACAGCACAAACAAAACAAAAAGTTTATAACAAATACTGTTCATCCAAAATTTCTTAAACTAAGGTTTATAATTTCAATTGGTTTTTTTTCTTTCTTTCAAAAGCAAAGCTCGTATCCCTGTAACACCAGCAAGCACAATATTTGTCATTAAGTTTTGGATGATTGACAAAATAAACCATACGTCAATCAATGAGTTGCTTTTGATTAAGTTCCTTGAGGCTGCTGTCTAAGAGGAAGCAACTGAAATATCTTGTTTTATTTCTTCGGGTCATACTGCAGCACGTAGATCATAAGTTATGACCACTGGTTGGTTTTAGACGGATCGAGTTAGAACAGGAATTCTAATCCAGCCCTATTTAAAAGCGAGTCTTAAACAGAAGAAAACTATTTTCCCTTATTAAATAGCACAGGAAATTTGTCAACGGTACTTAGCTCAAACCTTATTAAATTTCTTGAGAAAGACGAATTTGCAAACCCACGCATTGTGGATTATGAAAAAGGCCGATGCCATTTATGGGGTTGAAAAATACAGTGGATTGCGAATCGACTGAAAATCACCGTCTAATTTTTTTAATTGGTCAATTTAGTGGTTCAGATCGTGTGTACCTTTGTAGATATTCGGACTGTCTTGCTCACTTTGTTGGCCTTTCTTAGACTTCGCTACTTTTTAGTTTGGCATTTGTAAAAAGTTAGAACCACTGAACAAAAACAAAATGAAAATTTCCTTATATCTTTCGTCGCTCTTTAAACTTTGAAGGAAGTTATGACGAGCCGAGAGTTGGGATTCAGTTATTTTCTTTAATCCGCAGGAACCCCATCCGTTATTTACTGGTTAACTTAGCTGTAGCAGACTTCATGTACGCTGCATTAATTGCTCCGAGCTCCCACTCTGACGGATTTATTGGCTCAGGTTTATACCAAGTTCTTACCGACTGCAATGTTGCATGGATGGGAGCCATATCCTCGATTGTAACTTTGGTTATTATCTCCATTGAGAGGCATTATGCAACTCTTTCTTCATTTGATAACAAAGGGAAATTTAGCGAGCGTAAACTGAAGGTATAATCTCAGTAATCATCATTTCAATTGATCAAGAGGTTGTGGATCAATGTCAGTATCGGATCTACTGCCCACCTACCCCTCTCCTAACTCAACATTAACCCTAACTTGTAACCCAGTTGACTTTTGTTGGATTAAAGGAGGGGCAGGTGCGCAGCTGCGCTATGTTCGTATCCAGATCTCGCGTGGTCTCAAACCTTATGGAGCCTCCTTCATTTCGCGATTTTTAACAGTCACCAAAAAACGCGAAATTGAATACTAAGAAGGTAGCGTCGTTAGTTGATTTTTACTGGCCTTCTCGGATCACAGAAAATCCAGAAATATTTTGGAAAACAGCCAAGACAGTCAAGTCACAATTTTTTAATCTCCCTTGTGCAGCTCATGATTACAAGTATTTGGAACTTCTCACTGATTCTCATTTTACTTCTGCTCCTTGTTTGAGCTTCATTGAAGGGAAAACCTCATGCGTTGACATCTGGCTGGAACAATGAATGCCCGAATATTAACTATTGGCGTGGGTGGCACTGGTCCTCATTACGTTGTCAGTTATGGTTGGGTTATACTCCAGAGTCACCTATACATTATGGCTGAAACGCGACACAGATTACCGACTCACCTTCCAACAAAAGGAAGAGCTGCATGTTCGTGTCGAAGTTTGGCAAGAAATTTCTTTCCCACATCTCATAAGTAAGTTCTGTTGCGTCATTTTGTGTAATGCGATGTCATTGATGAGAAGGGGAGTAAATGACAAAATGTTTACACTTGACTGTAAAAATGGTGAGTTTGTGGTGTTCAGATGAACGAATAAAATAAATGTATAAATGACTAAAGGTAGCTGTTACTCCGGATGCTTCCATGCGGTGATTACCTTAACAAGAAAGCCTGAATGAGGATTACCAGTAAGGCTCTTACCTTTTTTTATCTCGACTTTACTCCATTCTGATATCATGTTTCTATTGACTCGATATGAGCAGATAAATAGACAAATAATTCAATTTTCTTGTTTGGTCTGTTTACTCTGCAATAAGAAACGGTTACGCGTTTTCCTTAGCGAGAACGGACTGATTGAGCTCTTTCCCGATTTATTTCTTAAACAAAAGTTTACGATCTTGCCCTCCATTCTCGCTCCACAGGGTGTCATTAAGGGGCGAAAACGAATTACCTTGATGGTCGTGGCTGTAAGTGTAACATTTGCAATATGCTGGGGCACGAATCAAATTGACTACGCTATGATGTACGTAGCATCCTGCGACATTGATAAAGTTCCCGTTGCCATTTGTAACATAATGGTCTTGTCTAATTTTGCCGTAAACGTGCTTGTATATCTCTCTCTTTAACCAACACTTCAGAGAGAATATGAATGCAACAACATGCTTCAGTAGCCTACCATCTAACAGGATTTACCCCGCTGATAATCCTGTACAGCTCGCTGACATCACCCTTTCGACACAGAGGTGAATCGTCTTTCGTGAAAGGAACAACTAATCATCCTCTGTTAATAAAGGAATGGTCGCTTTCCCTTATAATTGAATTTAACTTACAAAGCTTTAATGAGCATAGAAATATACGATAGCGTATGGCTTGGGTCACGTTAACAATGTCTAAATGATCCTAGACTCTAGGATCGTATAGTGGCTCTAGCGCACTCGGAATCTAACTGAAACAATACTCTGTATCAGCTACAGGTACATTATCTTTGGTTGTTGATGTTTTTAACCGTTTCCTGATTTTTTTTAAATTTTTTTTTATTCTATTATCACTTGTATCAAAGTAAACAAAAGGTCAAGTAAATCTGATGTCCATTATGTCAAGAAAACACAGAGAACTATGTTTCGCATGGTATTAACCTTCACGTTCTCATGCATGTGGAAACAAGGACAGAGAGCAAGAGGTATGGTTAAGGGTAAGAGAAGCGTTGGCTTAAGGATTAAAGCAGTATCATTTGAATCGAGACCGGGGTACATTTAGATCTATAGGTTTTTCCACTCGCCAAAACCGCAATCTTGTTCCCAGTTCCTCTCTGCCATTAATTTTTTCCAGCCTCGTTTTGATGAAGATTTTATCCCATGAATCTTGCAGTTCCTCGCGATTTAGAGAATTGTCGTCCATGCTTGTTTAGCGTTAGTAGAGAAAGTGGTTAAGTTTTCAGACAAATATGGCAGCAGTAGACGGCGCTGGGTTCAATTTGGATGAGGATGTTGGTGCTAAAATAAGTGGATTTCGCAAGGAATACGACAATGACCGCGATGGCCGAGAAGATTACGGTAAGGGACCATTTTTTAACAAATGCAGCGAAGATCGAACTGAGAAATCCATACAGACCTTACAGTTTGATTTGTTGTCTCGATCACCTTCCTACAAATTTTTGGTAAAATTTTTGTTAAGTTCGGCGTGTTAAAATGGTTAACGTGAAGTAGATCTGATTGAATAGTTTTACCGAAAATCCATAGAAGACTGAATAACATAACAAGTCCTAGAGGTGAACGATCGTTTAACGTTGCTATATATATTTATTTTAATGATGCAGTTATAAGCGTTTTGTGTATGAGCTCGCTTTCATGTAGTTTTAAGTCATGTTAAAATTGAACTTTGAGATCATCTGATAACTCCTCTTTACTCTTGTATTTGTTTTATATTTCGATTTTCCTAGTATAAGTTGAAACTGTCAAATTATTTAATTGTGTTTCTTCGTTTACACTGATGAGATGATGAGTAGATGATTTCAGGACCACTTTTAACACACAGAGGAGTTATACATTTGTAGATGAGTCAGAATTTGAAGAATTATATTTATTTCTTATACATTCAGAATTCCAGCCACAGGTATTTTAATGATGCATGCATCAAGGATTTAGGAATCATACATACATTTACATACGTATATAACCGTACACGTTCGGAAGGAGAACAAATAATTGATGTGGTATACTCGTGTGCTACACTCTTTACAATGCCTCAGTGAGGAATTTTATATCATAGCTAAGCAATGGTAACCAAGAAGAGTAATGAAAAGCATGATGAAATAGTGAAGTAGAAGTTTTGTATTTTAGTGGCAATTTGTGTCTTGTGTTCCTGTATCCATCTTTATGTTGTTGTCTATACTTGTTGTGCAATTTTCAGCATGTAAACATAACATTGATGGAAGTGGAACTGATAAGTGCCACCTACTCAGTATCAAAGTATGGTTAATCAAATCTTTTTGACAACCC